GCAGGGGTCTATGTCCACAGCTGAATAATAATACTGTCAGTGATAATGCAAAGAAACTTCTAGTAAATTCTAGTGCTCCATTACTCAAAAAGGCCTTTATGATGTGTTCATAATATAGCAAAGATGACCAACATTTATCCACCAGGAAAAAAAATAAAGTATAATAAACAGCTGCTCCCAAGAGCAGACAAATGGCTAACTACTCTAAAGACAGGGGAAGTCCCATGTGTCTAAAATAAAGCTAACGTTGGCTAATATTTTGTGAATATAATAATAATATTTTGAATGAGTTGTGGACTTCATATTCTGATCACAAATAAAGAACTGAGGGCTTAAGGAACATCAATTCAAGAAAAAAAGGTGAAGATTGTACATCCAGGGAGGGTAGAGACTGTCTTTTTAGTAATGAGTTGAAACGCAATTATCCTGTATAACAAAGTATATGTGAGTAGGACAAAAATCAATGTTAGGCTTGTGAAACAGAGCACATAGAAGAAAATGGTATGCATAAGAAACAGGGAGATGATGTGCTTGTACGTAGCAGTTGTGAGACCAAGTCCAGTTCTGGTTTTCACCATTTGTAAAGGACATTAAGAGGACTGTAGATTTTCTTGGGAGAAAAACAAAAATAGCCAAAAATTACAGGAAAATCAGCTAGACTTAGAGATATATCTGAAAAAACCTTCAACAACCAAACAAAAACTAAAAATCCCACAACATAAGCTTCTGTATTTCTGTTGTCCAAGCCACCTAACTTGTCATGTGCAGCCAGTATTGTTTTCCCTTATGGGGTGGTTGTACATTTAGGAAAGCTAAGTTCACTGTGTAAGGCCGCATTATGAGTTATGCAGCTGCAGTGGATCCCAAATATAGGTTATTGGGATGCTGCGTGCAGCATCCATGTACAGACCAGCAGCAACACCGGGGGTACCACGCTGAGTACTGAGCGTGAGCCAGACTGAGCTCATTCAGCTTCTCTGACACCCTCTGTTCACATGGCTGCCTACCGGACTCCAAGCCGCATACTTTGTATTTCCTTCCCATCACCTTTTCAAGGATAATTGCTGATGTGAAGATGCCTGTCCACAGACCAAAGTCGGGCAGATCAGGTGTAGATTTGGTATTTACTCCAGCATCATTCTGCAACCAGTAAAGAAAGAAAAAAAAAATCTGTAGATGGGAGATTGAAGAAAATAAAGCAAGCACCAAGATACTGGTGTGGTTTCTATTGGTCTGCAGTGGGATGATCTGTGTGTAACGAAGAGGAAAACTTCGTTGATTGACTGTTTTAATGTATAGTAAAACACATTGTTTGATCTAAATGCAAGTAATCCACTTGTACAGTTCATTTAAATGTTTGCTAAGGACAGAGATCATATTTTACATCTCTTGAAGTAAAATAATTACTTGATGGGGAAAAAATGTTTGAATCTGATAATCGTGTTCTGAAGAAGTTAGTATTAACACTACTTCTATTATTTTCTTTAAAACAGTACTTCTCATCTATACAATCAGTGATCCTTTCGCTAATAAGTATCTAAACATGCCTATGCAATGTCACCAAAACACAGTGGAAGGTAAAAGAGGATTTTGTCTTTTGTTATATTCATGTGGATTTCATAAGATCTAGATTTTATGGTGGGTCGCACCGTAAGCTGCAGTCTGTACCGGCACATGTGCTGGAGTATGTGGTGAGGTAAAAATAAGGGATGAAAGAGTGCCAACATTGGCTTTTGTAACGTCAGAGCTTAATGTGTGTATTAGTAATATCTATTATTCAAACATCCGCTACTTTAAGAAAAGAAAAAACTCTATTAGTGATTTATGAATCTTGAGTCTGAAGAAGATAACTCTGTAGCTAAATCTTATGGTATGTTACCTCGGTGGCAAAGAAGTGACTTGGCACGAGCCATAGAACATCGGCAGATTATAACTCACTTCTCAGGCCATAAATCAGCACTTAGTTTCTACAAAACAGGTTTCTGAAACATTGGTTGTCTTCTTTCTTACTAGCATTGCTATAAGTTTATAAAATTAAATACTACGGCATTTTATTATATATTTATATCACGTTTTTTACAGTGGAATTGTCTTATTTTTCATAAAATAGACGTGACAACATAGAGCAGTGGATGACTCTCATTAATTTCCTTCCTATTCCTGCTTTAAGAAACGCAGGTATTGCTATTTATACAATTTCTCGATGTTCAGGAGGAGCACTCCTCTCTGCCACACTGGCAGAACCGAATACTGCAACTGCAACACTATGTCCATGTCTGCTGGGGCTTCCTAAAGCCCCAATAAAAATCTGGGAATGTTTCCTCACCCAGCACACAGGAATTTTAGAGTCTTGAGGGGTTTAAGGTACTTGAGATGCTGTAGCTACTTGTCGCATGTTATTATGAAGCAGCACGTTCCTGAGGAGCAGAGAACCAAGCGGAAACTGCAGCTGTGATTGCCGTTTGGATGCCTGGGTAATAAATATGTACTGTCATCATCACGGATTGCACTAGAGGTTCCTGCTTTGAGGCTTCTTCCTGATATGTTTTTTGTTCATTTCACCTTTGAAAACAGTTTTATTCATTGGATTACACATGGAATAAATAGCCAATTTCAATTTCTAAAACCTGGGGTTTTTTCCTGTTAGTATCTGCATGTGTAACATATGGAGTCGGTAGTTTGTGAACAATACCCAGGACAATGTCAGACCTCGTAAAACAGTATTTAGAAATTGTTGTTCCTTGTAATAACACATTTGGCTTTTTAACATTTTCCAGTAATCTTTAATGAACGCTGTGATTGAGTAATTTTGTAGATAACAAGGACATTTTCACATGAGTTGTTTCGTAACTGTCTCATCACCATCATCTGTAACTTTATTTATCTACTGCTTAGATCAGTATAAGCCACAAATCTTAGCAAAGGGAAGTTGATAAAAACAAATACTTCTAAATCTATAACTGTGTTCATGTATATTTTTAATCCAAACTTCTACATTTATTCAGAACATTCAAACCCGATTTATGGTTTGTTGTTAGTTTCAGAACATGGCAGTGAGGTTGTACGTGTTTATCTCTATGGTCAGTAGATGCGTATGGTATATGTCTGTCCTACTGAATGATGAAAATGTGGGTGATTTTGGAAGAAGCAATGCTGATATTACAAAACAGTTGCACTTGGAATCTAGACAATTTCATGAGCTGATATGTTATACTATCAATAATAGATGACAGTCATCATAGATGACTGTTATCATAGATGATAGTATGTTTATATGGTGCTGTGTGTTTGTAAGTAGCGCTCTAGTAGACTACAATTTACAGTCCTATTAATTGTAACAAAAGAGTAAGAGGAATAGAGCTAAAGTAAAAGGCAGTAAATTTAAAATGAAGTGAAAAAATGATTTTTCCACACAGTGAAAAATTTTACTACAGAATTCTCAGACACGGGTCATAGAACCAAGATTTTGGAAGGTTAAGATGATTTGACCATAGATATACGTCTGCAATTAGTGACACTTGCGTAGCAACTTTACAAGTCTTTTCTTTAATTTTTTTCTGCTATTTTGCACTTAAACCAAGTAGCCAAATGCATTGTGATTGTGTTCAAACAAATGGAGGGATATTAAAAACCACTTCTCCAAACTAAAGGAGATCTGGATGATGGCTGCGAAGGTGCACACATAAATCTACCTGCTAATGTTTTACGTTCTCTCCTGGAGCTGCGTTGGCAGCCACTGGATGGGACTTAGCTCAACTGGGTTTCAATGGGAGCAGCTCCCGTGTCCTTCTGCAGCTGTCACCAACATCGCTCCCATTACCAGCGTTCATTTCTCTCGCTCTCTTTTTGTCACAGGTTGGGGCTTTTGGCTTTTGAGGCTTAGGACAAGGTAGCTTACACTTGATGAAGGGTGTCTTCTTCTATTTATCACAGGGAAATGGTGTTTTGTGGGTTGCAGGAAATGTGGAGTGAGTGTGCTGTACCACACTACTGTTGTACGGTTCCTGCAGGGAGCTGCTTTTGATAATTCAGATGGTGCCTTCAGTGCATCCCCTTAGTGACCAAAAAGGAGCTGGTTTGCACAGAGAAATGTATTATAGCCTTACATGCTTATCCTTTGGTTTCTTTTACCCTGATGTCTGCTAAAACAAAGATTAATGGAGATGATATAATAAACCAAACCGGGGATGCAGTAGAACAGCAATCTATATTGACAGCACTCAGCCCTCTTCTGCAGGCTCAAAATATTAAAAATACTTCTTAGCATAAATAAATGAAAACCTCTTCTTTCATACTCAATTACGAAACAGCTGAAGTGAAGAAGAATTTTAACAAGATCTTTTATTAATTTAAGTCGGAACGATGGGATGAAAGATGGGAGTAATTTGCTAGGGATGTGTGAGGATGTTTCAGCATTACATGACCATTATTTTGAGGAGTAATAACATGTAGCACAATAAAGGGTAGTACTGACCTGAAGGCATTACATTTAAAAAGAATACTAGGACGTGCGTGTTGATGGAGTACAAAACCAAGCCACAAGAGCTACTGGTATCCATAATCAAGTAGGATAAGTATGCAAGATAGAAGTAGGTTATAGAGCCATTTGGAGAACATATGATGAGTGAAATGGAGAATGATTTCCTTGTGTGGTCTTTGATAGCTCTTGCATATCCTTGATAAAAACAGTCACACAGTGTAAATTGATTGTTTCCGTATCTCTGAGATTCAGTAAGTTTCTGGCTTTATTCTATCTCCATTTGCATCCACGGAAAGTAGGTGATAACACTGGTCAACTTTCTAAGGCCATTTGAAATCTGTGGAAGAAAGCTTTAAGGAGGTGTTATTGAGTTATTGTAACCTTGGTTGAATCTGCTGTCTTCATAGGTTAAATCATGCTTGGATCATTTTAATAGTGAATGGAAAATAATTGCAATGCTAATGAAACTATATTATGAGAGAATTATGAAACTTTTAAGGTGTTTATTTATTTTGTTTAGGGTCAAGTTGTTTTCAGAAATGGAGAGAGGATGGGAACCATCAAGTTCACGCAATTCCAAGGTAGGCTGCAAACAATTTAATTTTCATTATAATTACGTGTGTGGTTTCAAACTTACGTGTCGGTTGCATTTGTTTCAGGGTGTATTAAATATGTAAAATTATTTTGAAAAGGAAATGCTTGGAAGATGCAGCAAGGTACTTGGAAAGTTTTGTTACCTGTTTAAAATACTGTGTTTTGAACCCTGAGTGCTCTGAGCTATTCCCAGGTATTTCCAAGAATTTTTCTAGAAGAAAATCCATGTACTTCTAGAAGCTACTGATCTATAACAGCCAACAGCTGCTGCAAAAGCTCTACTGGCGAGCTAAGCATCCACTTCTTAATACAGTTGTTTCTGAAAACCAAATCTGAAGAGGAATTTAGAGAGGATTTTTGCTGTTAAGCTCTTTCAAGTTAGTGTTTGTGCTTTCTGAAGACTCACTTTTGACATTCTGCAACTGCTTGATAAAAGTTGCTTCAGGAGTCAGTCCCTCAGCGTGCAGAGGACACAAACTGCTGACCTCATCCCTTGGAGGCAACGCACTCCACAGTGCGACTCGCCAAGCCTGCGGCATCTCCTCAGCCTGAGCTGCTCCTGCAGGGAGTGGCCTCTGCAGCAGAGCCCACAAATGCAGCCGCGGGGATTTGTCGAGGGTCACTCGCAGCCGGGATGAGGTTCTTGCTTAGGAGAGTTTTCTGCAGAAGTGGTGGTTCACAGAAGACATGTTACAGTTGTTTCTCCAGTTTATAGAATGCAATTCATGTTTGTGTTCCTAGGCTGAGGCTGAAGTAAAACCAGAGATGATTGCGTTTGGATGGTCTCGTGAGAGTAGGAGTGAGAAAGCTGGCAAATCCTTTTTCAGACAATGCATGAGAAAGAAGCTTGCACTCCCTTTGTCTTCAGGAGATCACTTTAAACATAATCCTGCTGACCAAGTTACAAAGGCTCATCCTTTAAGCAGAAATTGTCTGCTGTATGGGCATTATTATTAATGAGCAGCAATGCACTTGAGGAGATCCGTTACTCATTGTAATTTACTGAAGCAATCTTCGGGATTGCTCTTGCCTTCACAACTATAGCTGATGCTATTAACTCATGTTCCCTGAAGCATTTCTACCCACTAAAACTTTGCAGACACACCATCTCATGATAATATAATTTAGAAATTCTTGCTCAACACTAATGATAAATATTGATGGTTTCCTCTTCTTCCTCCCCCTTCCCCATTTTTTCATAGTGGCAATGTTTACAGCCACGTGTAAGAATCGTCAGAAAATATTGTAAGGGATTTTACAAGCAGTGTTTATGCCTCAGAAGTCTGAAGGAGCTCTTATGCGTTATGCCTAAGGCAGCCGTACGTACCCTTCTAGAGCATCTGGGCGAGAAGGAAGTTGGGCACGTTCCCTCTGCACGTTAACGATGAGATTGGGGATCATGGGGAGGTGCAACATGTATCTGGAGGAGAACCAATCTAGAGGAGCAACAGAAGTCCAGAATAGCTGATTTTAGATAGATTTTTATTTCCAGCCATCCAAATTGAGCTTTTTAATAATGTTTTCCATTTCACATTACATGCTATTTAACTACAAGGTTTTACCATGGGTTGTAAATACTGTTTGGTCAATAAGAACATAGGAGACAGCCACCCATTTTATAATTCCTTGCAATTACAAAATTACTATTTCAGAACTGATTCAGGCACTTAATAGGAATTTTGATCATCAACCAAAGGTTTCCAGTTAACCTACAGGAAAAAATAACCCAGGCATCCTATGGAGAAATGCAGGAGAAGGGCTGAGTGCTTTCTCATGCAAGCAATAGTCTGTCAACACATCTGAAGCCTGGTCTTAAGCTTCGTTTAGTTTCTTACCAATTTTGGATGTGAAAAGTAGGTACAAAAATGTAAGATAAATTGAAAATAAGGAACAGTACAACAACATAGTTGAAAGTAATCTTTTTTTTTTTTTTTTAACTACAAATGATATTCTAACTATTAACATTTTTTTTCCTGTTCTTTCATTGGTATTGTTTTTATACGAGGCTTTTATAGTCAATGCTTGTGGCATAATTGTAGAGATTATTAATTTGTTCAAAATAATTCTTTATTGGTTAGGAAGCTTTCTGAAACATTCACTTTAACTTTTACTAAATCTTGGACTAATGGGGAAGTTCCTAATAATGGAAAGAAGTTACTTAAGTCCAGTACTTAAAATGGTAAATGGCCTTGTCCATTGTAGTTATAGCTGTAGGTGCTATCAAGCTTGAGACAGATACAACTATTCATTAAACCTTTTTTTTAGAATATATTACAAATCATTATGATTTCTAGGAAGAAAAGGAAACATCAAAGATGTCTTGTAAATGCTTTTATGAGATTAATTGTTAATTACGAATATAGCATGTATTAAATGTATTAGTAGCTTCTTATTCAAACATAATAATTTGGAATCATTAGGTTTAGTGTTTTATACCCCAAGAGTCATTTCTTCATCTGCGCTGGTTCATAGTTTTGTTGAATGAAAATGGACTGTCATCACAAATAATTCAATGCAGAAAAATAAAGCAGGTAAATGAGTAATCATACATCAGAAGTAGGATTCCATGGCCAAAAATGCTATTCCTCATTTGCCAGTGTAGAAAATGAGCTGGGTAGACTCAGGAGCCTCATTTTCTGTTCTTTGCTGGAAACTTTTGTGCTAATGAGACTATCTGCAAACGTTTTGGCTATGGAAAAAGCAGCCAGCCACATCTGCCAGAGGGAAGGGAGAACAAGCCTGTGAGGGTTCAGAGGGTAACTGCAGTACGGCTGACATGCTGTGATGAAATTGTGACTAGCTGGTTTAATTTTTAGTCTAGATATAGTTTTTCCCGAACTCACGCTAGTCGTGTCTCTTTTTGAGCTTCTGCGCAGCCTGTTAGTTTTGCAAGTGGTCAAACAGATGGTGCCAGAGATAGCTGTGACCGAACTACTTACTGCTTTATAGATCATGAATACCGCCCAGGAATGATTTAGTATGCAGCAGAGGATACGAAGCACATGTAATAGTATTTTCTTCCCCTACCTTACTGGCAAATAAAGAGCAGTCTGTCAGTCTAGCTCAAATATCCAAGTGATATTTGAAGCTGGCATCTTTCCGAATGAATGGCAATTTTTCCGCCGGTGTAATTAAAGGGCTATTCTCATTGTCAAGCATGGAGTTGAAGTAGATGGCCAAAATCTTTTGGCTAGTGAGAGCTGAAAGGGTCCTGGCAACTGTTGTGTGCATATCAAGGAGCAGCGAGGGCAGCTACAAAAATGAGACTGTAGCTTGCTGTGATACAGGAGGCTTCAAGAGCAGACACATACCTGTCCTTCAAAGTGTTTCACTTTGGCAGATCTTTTCTGATTGATCTGTCTGGAGCCTAAAAGGCTCCTTGCTTTCAGTCATGTTCCTATTCCTGTCAGGCATTAGGGAAAACCTAAGAGACTTCTGTGCTGGAATAGGTTAAAAAGGAAAATTAAAGCTGAATTGTAAACAAATACCATAAAAAATCTGCATAGATCACACTTGTAGATAGGCACAAAAGTCTGTGGGCCTGCATTTTAAGAAAACTTGAAGAAGGTGTGTAGTGATCTGCTGTGTCTTTCTGGGGAGGATTTACGAGTTTCAACTCATTTAGCCAGGTAATATGATGTTTGATAGTGTTGAACGCTGGTCCGGGTACCAACCAGGAGTGGGAGCATGGCTTGTCAAGTGTAACACCATTGGTCTTCTTAGAGAAGGCCTTACTGTGTTTGTGCAGTAAAAACCTGATATTCTTCTCTGATTTTAATCAACAGAAATAGGCAAACAAATGTCTACTCTACAGTCAAGAGCAAGGTACACGAGAATCCAGGATTGCTTTCCTGGAGCCCCAGTTCGTCTAGTTCTGCCTTGTCTGCTGTCCACAACTGGTTTAGTGAAGGAGACATTAGCAATTCTCCAGAATCACCTATGGATACAATAGCTTGTTCTCCAGGGGCATCAATCCAACCCTGGAAAAGTTTCCTTCTGTTGTGCTAAATACAATCCAGCAGATTCTTAACTACTTTTGGTTCTTGCTTCCGTAAGGGGTCATATAAATGATGAGACTAATTGCCTTTGAATACTTTTTTTATATTTAACTTCTGTTCAGTATCTACCCCACAGAATCAGTTTGTGGATTTTCTGTGATAATATTGAAGGAATATAATCCAATAAACAGTCAATATTTAGTGACAACTCTGAAAACTCAAATTTGAAATATCTCATGTCATATATCTGAAATCTGTGGTATCAAATATCCAGAATCAGTGGATTCGGATTTCTCTGCTTCTGCAGCATATTTACAAAGTGAGAATATAATCACCTTATAAATATTAAGTTTTTCCAGAAATTAAGGAGTGCCTTTGAATAGCCAGATATGAACTTAGGGGGAAAGTAAATAAAGTAGTACAGAATCCTGTTGGCTGAGCAGAATTTGAATAGTGAACAACAAATAATCGCTAGTGTCATGTAATGAACAACAAAGATGTAAAACAGACTGTGCTGTTGATACTGGGCAGCTGGATTCTTCTGGAAAACATCACTGTCATTAAAGACTATCATTTTGCACTCAAAAAAGGGAATTAATTAAGGAGGCAGGAAGCTTACTTCTGATACATCCTAACTGGAGTGCTTGACTGCCATCACAAAAATGTGTGTTTGGTGGACTTCTTGGTGGACCATATCCACTCCTTTTTACCCGCACATGAGTAGTGCAGTTCGATTGTAGTGGTTCATTTCTTAGCAACCGTTGGTTTTTTTTAGCTTAGTGATCATCTCATCCTGTCAAATTAAGTCTCTTAAACGATACCCATAGTGGTTTGTAGTAATTTTCCAGTACATCACACACATGAAACCCACCCCATATCCCCCCACACCCTTCCCCAAAACCTGCTTTTTCAGCTCCAGGGCAGTTACTGGTGACTACATGGAATCTTTAATAGGTCCCACCCAGTTGAAATCCCCGTAAATATGGTTT